CTGCAAGGCTGGGGGTCTTGGCTGCATGAGTAGTAGGAGAAGCTGTTGTGGGTCACGTAAGCCAAGCGCATGTCAGAGCGCTGCAGAGCTACAGACACACACAGCAGCACACAGAGGAGGGAAGCAGGAGGGCTGACGGCAGGCATCACTGTGGGGGGAGAGGCTCAGGCAGCATACTGAGGGTGTTCATGCGTGGATGTGTGTGTGTTGAGTGTTCAAGCACATACAACTGAGCCTGCATGGGAGAGAACAGACACAATTATTATTAAGAAAAACATGCTAACTAGCACTTCTTTAGTCCAAACCTGTTCTGACCTGACTTGAGCAACATTTTACAGTGACTTGGTCTGAGGAATGTTAATGACCAATAATAATGACCAACTGAGGAATTAAGACTTTTGTGAGATAGGCAGCCAAACTGAGTATACAAACAGCAGAGTCATCTGGCAATTCAGCCAAGTTTGCATGTGTGTGTGATAACGAAACTACACCCAAGCTGAATGTACAGAAATCTTACCCTTTGTGACTCTGACAATTCTCTCTTTCAACCCCACCTCCTCATTAAATCATAGCTTACAATATAATGTGGGATAAAAAAAGGGCGAAAGAACTGATAAGTATGGAGGCATGTTAGAAAGAAATGAAAGAATGAAAGTCTAATCTAAATCTAATCTTTTTCATATTTACAGATCTTTATTTAAAAAAATCGATTGTTGTTGTTTGTGTTACTGGTGTATTGGCTAAAGCAGTTCCTTTTTTTTTTACCAGGAAAGAAACTTGATGACAGTAAAAATCTCTTTTTCAAGAGTGTCTTTGCCAAGACAGGCAGCAGCACAATTTACAGAGTTTCAAACAAACAACCGATCAATACAACAACAAAAAACCCTCATTAGACATTAAAAGACTCAAAAAACAAATTTCACAAAGTTATTCTCACGCTAACCTGTTTACAGCGGTTTGAGCAAACTCAGGTCTTTTAGTCGGTAGGTTCAACATGCTTGGACTGGTGTGAAGTGTAATATGGATAAAACACTTGGTTAAGCTTCTTAAATATCAATATTTGCTGATTGTCATGACACAGAATTAATATCTGGATGTTTAGACTGATGGTTGCATTAAACAAGCTATTTGAATTGGTCAACTTGGACATTTATATACAGTAATTGGAGCTTGGAGCCTGAAGTAACATTATGATAGTACTAAGATACTAAGATTTGAGTTTCTCTTATCCTTGGACCCAATAAAAAGTATGTATCTTCAAATGATTTCTGATTAATGGAGGGATTATGTGTTCCTTTTTGGGTTGGGAAACTTCTATTTTTAAAGCTAAATAAACAACTTAATCCCCTCCTTTTAGATTAGCCGGGAAAGGCATAGCCACAAAGCTGAAAGCAGGGTTGTTTACAGGCCTTATACTGTATATGGAGCCCTTTTATTTTTGGAGATCCATGGATCGAAACAGGACAGTAATGAGTAGGATGATCTTAAAAGTTATAATCCAGTTCTGTAGATTAAACTCCCAAAGAGGGCATAAAGAGACAGGTAACATTAAGCTGTAAAATAGAACACACATATTGACGCAGAAGTTCTATTTATCCAAAATCGTATCAGTAAAACACTTACATTTCACAGATAATACTCAATTTTTCCTGGGCAAGGTACTGAATGCACAGTTTTAAATGTAGTGGAGCATTTCTGCAGTGTGGCACTACTTTTACTAAAGTAAGTAAATCATCTGAACACTTTGTCCCCCAATGTTTTTAACACACAAGGCGTTTAACTACACCCAGCGCAGCTCATCTTTCACACAGGAGATTCTTGTTGTATTAGTCTTCTAAAAAGAAGCAATGAGAGGGGCTGTGGAGGTCATGACAGCTGGTTTGGATAAACACACGCACACACGCACGCACACACGCACGCACACACGCAGTCTGGGATGGGTGTGTTCTTCCTGCACTAAAGTTGGGGATACAATGTTTGGCACTGGAAGCCCACATTACACACACAGACACACACACACACACAGACACACACACACACACACACACACACACACACACACACACAGACACACAGACACACACACACACACACACACACACACACACAGACACAGACACACACACACACAGACACACACACACACACACACACACACACACACACACACACACACACACACACACACACACACACACACACACACACACACACACACACACACACACACACACACACAGACACACACAGACACACACAGACACACACACACACACACACACACACACACACACACACACACACACACCTGCAGGCACACAAACACATATTCAGAAAATTATAACTTTTGAGTCCGCTTTAAGATTCCAGGGAAAACATTGTTGTGAAATGTTGGCTCAAACAGAGGTCAGGGTAAATGTTCTGGTTTGGCAAGAAAATCAGTCGAGGAACACGACTTTCTGCCTCTTTCTGCAGGCATGATTGAGCTGACCACTACATTCTTCTCCTGGGCTTCTGTGACAATAAACACAAGAGGGCTATCATCTACAGTATATTTAACATCCAGTTACTTTACTTTTATGCCGCCTGAAAGCTAAAATACATCCTCTGAGTCTGATTTCAGTTTGTTTCAGCTCATCCTTTCCACAATAATTAAAAAAAAATAGTTTTTGTGTTGTAACATTGAATGGCTGCATTGCATGTGTTTGTACTTATTGACCTGCTACTGGGGCTTTGGCGGCACTTTTTCTGTGTGAGATGCTTTTCCTGCTTCAAAATACAAATCTCACACAGTTTATAAAGTACTGTATGAACAAAGGCACTGCAGTTTAATTTGAGTCAATGCCACATACATAACAACAAGCAACCTTAAATGATCACGGGTGAAAATGAGCAGTGGAGTTAAGAAATGATTGCACCTTTTTGAAAAATTGAAAAAATGTATTTGCGCAACAATTTACAGGTTTATGTATTCAGTAGGAATAGCTAGCTCCAGTAAAGGAACAACCAATCGGGCTATTAGCTTTGCTTAGCACAAAGAAAGCAGGGGGAAGCAGCTAGTCAGGCTGAAGGTAACAAACTGCACCGTCCGAACAATTTAAGTTTTATTAATAGTATTAGTTTATAAATGGAGAATGGTTTGAAAAAAAAAAATCTGTGCAATGTATCTGCTTCCCCTGTTGCTTTCTTTCTGATAAGCTAGGCCTATAGCTCTTAATTCAACAGACAGATTTCAAAGTGCAATTGACCCTCCCTCCCCAGATGTTAGGCCTAATTCATTTCAAACATTGTAAAACTTAATGTGTTTCCCTACACTCAGTCAAGCTATATATCCGGGGCTAAAGCACATATGGGCTACATATTAAAACGTATAAATCTTTTTCTATGTGTATTGTAGCAGCTTAAGATAGAAAATGGGTCTGATGTGTTGTGATACAAGTTGATGGGAAATTGTTGGCTCAACTGTTTCTAATTGAAGCAATTGGCTCTACGCCAACAGCAGCAGTGTGAATGATGGTATGTTGTCATGCCAACACCGATGTTTTGACCACATTTGGTCTATGCAGCTGTGAATCACTGACTTGGACCTAAGGTGACTAAATCCTCAGATATGTGGCTACCGAGTCCTTTTTTGTGTGTTCCATCTGAAGTTTGCCTGGTTAAAACTTTACAAATTCAATCTGAGTGCAACACCTCATCAACAAGAGGACAAGAGACATCTTACAGTGCAATAAAGTACCAGGTAGTTTTTCAGCATCATAAGCAGTTGATGTGTTTGCCTGTGACCCATCTGACATGTTTCCATCCAAATAGATTTGCGAGAAAGTTTCTATTACATAACAGACACAGGAATGCACAAGCTATCTAATGTAATCTGAGAATATACAGCAGGCTTGGCTTTCTTTAACACGAGGTAACTGGACACAAACATAGTTTTCAAATGCTTGTCAAGCTGACTAAATTGTGGCTAGTACACAGATAGAAAAAGGTTCCAGTTTTCTTGTATTTAACTTACCTCATGTTGCCTCTGAAGAGTTGATATGTGAATGCGTCAGTTTTGGGGCTGGGATGGGGAGGAAAAATCACACATCCAGCTGACGTCAGGATGGGGGAAGTATCCCACAGAGGAAGCTGTAACTCATTTTAAAAGCAGAGCTGCAGCGTCAAGTCCTTTTTTTAAAAACATATGCCTACTTTGTCATAATCAGAACAACCATGAACTAAAGAATATCAAACTGATAGTCAATGTTTATTTTCTATATGTAGCCTACATATATCAGACAGCAGATTTCAAATGTACTTAATGGCTCAACCAAAAGCCTCTTCACTTAATTTAGTAACAATCCCATGCTCACAAAACAGCTTAAACTAGTGGTATGTTGTGATCTGTGTTTTTATCAAATTATGTTCCGAATATAAGTCACATTTACCATTTTATTTTCAAATGTTGATTTCATGTTGGTTTGTTAATTGAATAATAATACACGTTTTCCCAACAGGGCAAATAGCCCTACGTTTTTCTGGGGAAAAAACCCCTGAGAAACTCAGGTGATTTCCTAGGTGATTGTGACATTTTTGCTGCATTCACATACCGTCGGAAATCTCTGTATTCGGAGATGAAGAACTCGTAAAAGACTCGAATAGTAACCAACGCAGTTATCATCAGTTGATGTTGAAATTGGGAATAGTCGGAGAGAAACGCATTAATACGTATATGAGGGGAATCATATTGAAACAGTTAATATAAGCAAATGTATGCAATCGAAGGATATAATTGTAAGCAGATACATTAATCAGTAATCTTGCATGCACTATTTGTTGTTTCGCTGTTCTATTTAATTAGTTATATGAAACATCATTTCACATTTAAAAAGACAGCAAATCGGCCCCTGAAAAGTTTGAAATGCACATTTACGAGGTTACAAAAAGGCAACATTAAAGGAAGTACACGTTCGCTTTTTGTCCATCTGAGGCTGCACAAGAGACGCAGTTGACTTTGGGAAAGATTAGTCCGCGTCCCTCCGCTTCTCCGCGATGATACTCTAGTTAATAAAGCATTTTGGTTCGATATTAAGGCTGATAAATAGAAGACAACGAGCATCTTGAAAACCGAATGAGCATGGATTGGGGTGTGCAGTTGTGTTATCCTGTTTTCCTGTCTCTCGTCTGCTTACAAGCTTCCTCGGTTTATGGTAAGAAGCTATTGTTTACTATCAGCAAATGCGTGCTAAAAGTGGGACTATAAGCCTGGCTTTTACACTCCTCTGAAACACTCTGTGAGGTCGAATATGTCTCACGTCACTAAAACATTTTAAATCAGTGTGAATATCAGGCTGTTCAGCTGAGGACGGGCCTGAAATCTGTTAGCTCCCTGCTGCCAGGAAGTGGGAGCGATTGTTCTGAAACGTGTGGGCTATGGCGCAGTGGTTCCCAAAGTGGGGGTTGGGACCCCAAGGTGGGTCGCCAGCCACCAAGATGCCTTCCATTAAAAAAATAAATAAAAGTGCATAAATATATCTTTTTACCATTTTTGTAAATATGAGATGAGATGAGATTCAACTTTATTGTCATTACACATATACAAGTATAGAGTAACGAAATGAGGTTTGGCATCTCACCAGAAGTGCAATAAGCAGAAAGTGCAAGAGTCTGTGCTATGTACAAGTAATTACAAAATGTACAGATGTAGACTAAAAAAAGTGAATTATTAGGTATATATGGATGGCTGGATTAATGGGATGCTATAAATATAAATAAATGCTATAAATATAAGTGTATTCTTAGGATTATAATAAATGCTATAAATATAAGTGTATTCTTAGGATTATAATAAATGCTATAAATATAAGTGTATTCTTAGGATTATAATAAATGCTATAAATATAAGTGTGTTCTTAGGATTATAATAAATGCTATAAATATAAGGATTTAAATATACAAAAAGTAGTCCCATGTCATATAAGACATAGTATCATCTGTTGTGTCATTTTGTGTTCCTAGTTTTTGGATAGGTTTATTAGAGTGTGTGCGTGGCTGTCGCTACGTTATATACCTAACTAACCACCTTAAAGAACTGTGGGGGGGGGGTCCCCACTTTCTGTCATTCTTATTTTGGGGGTCACGACCTGAAAAGTTTGGGAACCCCTGCTATGGAGCATGAATAACAGGAGTGTTTTAAGCTCATGTAGGCTAATATTTCAGTTATTGAATAAAATCGCTATTAAATCGTTAACATTGATAACATTTGAACGATCTCTAATATTTATATTGACATCTTAAATGTGAACAGGATGGACTCTTGTAACATCGCAGTTTGCTTGAACAAAGTTGTTGAGCTACAGTTGCCTTGTACTTTTTGGGTTTGTTTTTATTTCCTCTTTGTGCTTTTCAGTATTGCTCAAGACACCTTCTTTGTGTGATGTGTTAATGCAAAGTTATGTAGTTCTCCTTCAAAGAAAGACGTAGAACAACCCATTGTTTAGTATTCCGGATAGCCTATTAAACCAAACAGAGGCCACACATTTCCTACATGCATTCATGCCGTGCTGCATTGTCCAATATCTAGAACTGACTTAACAAAACTTAAGAGGGCCTTTTTTCTTTTTTTAAATCTTTTGTTTCTCATTATATCCTCAGATCCCAATTTACCGAAGCTGGACTATCATGTCTCCTGCTTCACAAGTTGAATATAAAAGTAGACTATTGTTCAAATGTAATAGGGTGATGAAAACAAGATTCACAACACAGGACAAGGAAGCAACATAGATTTTGCTACAAATGACTCTTTCACATAAGCTTCATAATGTTGTGCTCAGACCTGGGGATTGATGCTTTTTAGTTTGGGGCGAAAACTTTAATTAACATTCTGCAACAAACCAATTATGATTTAAAGGAGACATCAAGTGAATTTGTATTGATCCTCATCAGTCTGTGGGAATTATTGCGACACACTTAAGTGCTTCTTGATGTGATCGTGGAAATATCAGCTCTGAATACAAAATACAACCGTTAATGCACCCAGTGTACGTACAGACACTCACAACAGTATGTGGGCAGCAGTGTTGTACAATGTGAACCTAACAATTTTTTTGAGGGACCGTCGTATATATGTTTGATATTGAACCAGAGGTCCAGGTAAAACGAATCCTGTGTGAATGGGGCTTCGGTGGACTTGAATGCTACAACATTCAATTGAGCACAATTATTACATTGCAGTGTGTTACTGTGCAGGGCTGCTTGATTACTGCAAAAATCATGATCATGATTATTTTTGGTTGCTATTGAGATCATGATTATCTAACATCATTACTTGTTGATTTGAAAACATCTGCATCACGTGCATTTATCAAACAATCACTCTTAACACTTTAACATTCTGAACACTTCGAAAATCAAGCAATACATCAAAATAAACAAGTAAGAAACATATAATAATATACAATGCTTTGAAACATTTACCACACATGACAAAACATTTAGGGACAAAATGTGTTCAACACATTCTGCAAAGTAACGGTTTGCTATAAAGCCTTAATATAAACCTTCCTTTGGGGCGGCTCTGTGTATTTTTTGATTACCTTATTTTGAAAGGGTTTTGTAAAGACATACTCAGGAAGGATTTTAGTCATCTTGTGACTAAGTGCTCTGCACCTCTCATCGAGTAACCTCCTTTTTAAACTCTTGATTGCATCGGTTTTCTCTTCCTGCTTGAAAAAGTTTTCGCTTGGTTTGCACAAATCAGTCGGCTTTATCTGCTACCGCTTCTGTTTTCTGTCTCCCTGAGGCGACGCTGAACAATCTGCTTCTCTCAAACAAATGTATAAACCTGCTGCTGGTTTCAGGAATCATTGCTACTTTTTCCTCTGGTGTGGTTGGACCTTGATGTAGGAGACCTTGTTCTCAAAGTTGTCAGTTTGACCTTTAAGTTAATTGTTCATGCTGTAAATCTTTTAACCAGTATTTGCAATGATATAGTTCAAAGTAAAACAATTTCTTGTCAATGTTTAAAAGATACTTGGTTCAAAAATGCTTATCACACTGCTTTACGTATGGGAAATAAATTGTGTGTGTGTGTGTGTGTCTGTCTACAGCTACCATGTGGTTACAGCCTCAGCGACCAAGCTTACCCTCTGTGGTTATCACCTTGCAAACGTGTTCCCATTTGTGATTTCTCTTTCACTCTTCTCACGCCTCACGTAGGTGTGTTAGCACGTGCATGCACATAAATCTGGTATCGCAGTTGAAGTGAAACCAAAATGTACTTTTTCTTTCAGCTGTGTGAAAATAAAGTTGACTCATACGACTGTGACTGTCTTGGAGGTTGTGCTCCGTAGCACTCAGTTTACTCAATCATTTCTTAAAAACACTTTTATGCAATGTCAGGTTGATGTCAGCGGTAAGAAATTAAAATCCCAAACACCTTTTCAGTCTTCAATTTTGTGTGTGTCTTCGATATTTTCTTTCTTTAAAACTGAAAGATAAAGAGCTATCAGTGTGTTGATCTGATGATGTGTAACATTAATATATTAATATGAGCAGGAGAAGTCATTGAACCTTACTTTTTGGTTCCATACACTTTGACAAACAGTACCAAACAGTATGAGGGGAAAATGTTTAATCTAAAACGGTATGAAATATTTTGTTTCTATTTTGAATAGCTCTCAAACATACAGCCTAAAGAAAGTGGAATCTGTTGTTGTATGTTATGCTTTGTTCCAAAAAAGTAAGTGGAAGAATCCGTCGTGTGTCTTCACACAACAACTACGCTTGTGCGATGAAGCATGTCCTTCCTGTAAAAGCTGAACTGTCATGCTTGTGTAAACATGCACTGAATGGAGAGGCAGTGCTCAATTTTTACTGTCAATCATCTGGTCCTCTTATAATGCCGACATAATGAAACTAAAGCTGGAAGTGACAGCGAGTGAGGATTAGTAACAAAAGTATGGCTGAACAGAAAGAAACTTTAAGGAAGTGGATCATTGGGAGTGTTTTTTTGTTTAATGTCTACTTCTTTTTTTGGAAAAAATGTGTACATGTGTGGAGCTGCATCTTGACCTTTCACTCCAGAATAACAAGTTTAAGGACATTAAAAAGTATTCACTCTTTTGCTGTACTGAAAGACAAATGATTTCCTGAATGTATTGTCCTCATCTCTGTATTTACATGTAATGTAGTCTTCTATATCTTTGTAGACCCTCTGAAAGCTTGTCATACAGTGCCCCCTTTTGGTCAGTTTATGGAACTGCAATTTCCCAGCCTCCCTGACTTGTTTATTCTTAAACACTTAAAAACAGGCAGTGTGAGAGTTTCGACTCTGTAAGTGACCCATCCCGACGCCTTTCTCTACAGATCAGGTGTTTTTCTTCACTCTGAAAGTTCAGTGCTCCCAGTGTCACAGCTGTTGGCTTAAGAGTTTCTGCAGTTTCAACTGTGTGTCTGTTTCCACAGTGATGCCGCCGACAAACTTGACCCTGGAGTGCCGAAATCTGTGCAACGTTCTTAAATGGAGTTATGAAGAACCACTGACACCAGGACTTAAATTCATTGTGAACATCGGCTGTCTCGCAAACTGGTAAGTAACGCGGAGGGTTGTCCGTCTCTTTGAGCACATTCACTGATTCAACTCTGTGTTTACCGGTTCAAAACATTTCGTTTCCGAGGCGATCTCTGCTTAACTTTTAAATGAATTATATGACAAACTGAATTTCATCTTCAAATAATTAATTTCCAAAGCCGCTCTTAAAGTTGGTAGATTATAGTTAGAGGAAAGACAAATCAATAGAGAATGTTTCTCTTTGAGAAACTGAACGCTACATTTATGGATAGATGGACAGACATCCCTGAAAATATTTTTAAATATGAGTATTGGAATGAAAGCTATCCTTAATATAGCTGAGCACATTTTTTCCTGTTCAAATACTTGAAGGTTAGAAGTGGCTGATAACAATTTACAATACCTTACATTATTGACTTTACACACACATCTTCTATTTAAATATGAGCTGTCTTTTCACGTTGAGTCCTGAATCAGGATTATTTGCAGCCTCATTTGCTCATTTTCTTCCTTTTACAAAACCTGACAAAGTTTCTCTTCTCCTTCTTTTCCTCAGTCCGGAGAACCTTACTGTGGAGCCCCCAGCTCTACAGGCTGACCTGTCATTTCTCTCTCTACCAAGTGAAGACTACTATGTCACTGTTAGTGCAGTGATTGGAGAAAATAAGTCTGAATTATCTGAGGGAATCGATTTCAGCTATTTCAAGGACTCTCTAGTCAGTAAGAAATGTGAGTAGTTTGATCCTTACTTGACGAGCTTACAACGTAAACATTTTTGTCATTTGTAGATTTTTAAACCAGCACTGGTTTACATTGTGTTCATTTTCTAAGCTTAAATTTAAAGTTGACAACAGAGGCTTACTTTCTCTGTTACTTTGTTACCAAGTCCATCACTCCAATTTTAACCACGACATAAACTAACTAGTTTCTGACAGTGGCCATTTGCGAGTAAATGGAGTAGCCTACATAATGTCGCAATAAAACACATGCATGTGGCTTTACGGGATCAAGACAAGACGGGCGGAATCAAACACGGAGAACATATTTTAGTCAGATACAGCCATAGCACTCATAATGAAGGCTGTCCACTTTGTGTACACATGCTTGTGTTCGTGCATGAACTGTACCGTGCTGAAGCACATCTCTTCAGAGTGTGCCAGGGCCATGGAAGTGTACTGTGCTTGACTTTAAACACATGGATGCATTTGCTGCACAAAATCCCAACTCTCAGTTTCTTTCTGTAGCGGTCCTGTTGAAAAAGGCAAAACCCAAAAAGCTTCTTTAAGTTTAGTCATTGGTTTAGTCATAAAGTCTTTTGCAGTTTTAATAGAAGGATTCAATATATTTTGCAAGGATTTTTTTGTATTTATCTACAAAATGTAGACAGGAGAAAAAGATTGACATCCCCATTGACAGTTTGAAACCATTCAATTGATTAGCAGTTTTAGTCGGCTGGAAAAGAAACAGTATTAGTGTTTCAAAATGTGTTGAATGTGCAAGTCAAGTCTGTAAATAATATGTTCTATTTAAACGTTAGAATGTGACATAACTTAAATCAGCTGCTAAGCCATGTTCATGTTGGTTTCCAGGTATTTTGGACCTTCCCTCAGTGAACGTCACTTCCCAAAAGGATGACTTTGTCCTGCTCAGCTTTGAGCATCCCTGGCAGTTTCACCAACACAAGACGGCTGGCAGCCCAAAGTCAGGAAGTATGAAGAAAAGAAGCCATGACTACGAGCTCGAAGAGCTACCCGAATTTATGTACCGCGTCATCATAATGAACCAGGTCAGACTGCACCTCATTTCACTTTTGTTTATAGCTTTGTTTAGTCAGTAAACCTAGAGAAAAAGAAGATAACCCGTCTCAGGTCTTCTGTTACTTCTGTTGTTCTCATTTTTTTTTACTGAGTTCTTATTGCTCAATAGAAGCATTGATGACTTGTCTGTCTGACTGTGCAGTTCAGTTGAAATGAGCTTTACCATGTGTTATGTTTACAGAAAGAGGAGCCCCACGATTTCAGCTGTGTGGCGATGGTCTGTGAGGAGAAGCTTCCTGTGGACGCTGCTCAGAAGAAACACTGTCTGAAGATCACGGGAGAGATGAACAGAATATCTGTTGAAGCCACACAAGACTACTGCACCCTGCTGATAGAGAAAAACTGTTGAGTTAAACATTTTTTAAATTTAATTTCTTTTTAATTTTGCAGTTTAGATAAAGACACACACCGATTATGCAGCTTTGAAGGATTATGTCTGTGGGAAGGTTTGAAGCCAAACCTGGGAAAACAAACAAAACTGACAATTGTACCTAAATCATGCTGGAAACACCATGTGGTTTTTTTAAGGTGGATTTTTGACAAGCAGATGTCAAAGCACATTAGTAACACCACAGCTCCTCTACAAGTATCCTTAATGATTCATAGTTTCTGCTGTACATAAACAGGTGCTTCAAAGTTTCAAAGTGGAATTTAAGATACAAAACTAAATGTTCCTCCTTTCACATACTCACTGCACTCCTGAAATCTCGTGTTCAGATTCCTGTGTGAACCCATCATGATCTGTCTGATCAGCTGTATGTGATCAGTCATCATACAGTTACTTTGTAGTATTTAATCAGTAGAGTATGTTGAATATTCAGGTTTTGGGCTCGGCTACAGTAAAGTACAGAAAGGTAGAGATGAGTGGATAATAAGATGTTCAATGGGTTAGAAATTAAGTTATCAAAAACACCTTCAATTCTTTTCAAAACAGTGCCATGTGTTTCTGCAGACACAATCTGGGCCATCTCTAAAAGTGCCAAAGCGTTAAAGAAAAACAATCAGATTACAAATTGAAGCTGAAATCTAAAGCTGTTTTCACATATGCACTCCTGAAAATATCTAGATGATTTCAGGAGGACTGCTCCGGATATTCTCCGCACCTCTCGGTCTCTTTTTATTCTGTCTGTAAATGTTTTTCTTTATATCTGTTTTGTCTAGATTTAATCTACTACGTCGTGGGCGGCGTGCTGCTCCTGATTGCGTTGATTACTGTCCTCTTCATGGCTTACAAAAAGATGACCAATCCTTCGTCCTATAAGCCAGCATTTTTGGTATGTTAATCCAGTCCATCTGATTTGATTTAATGAACCATATTATATCAGACATTTCTAAATTCAAATAGATTATATTAAACAATTCTTCCCAACCATTGAGTCAATAATCTGATGATTGCTCTTTTTGTCTTTTAAGAACTTCTCTGGGGAACGGGGGCGGTTCACAAGCGGGGGTGTCCTAGAGAGTGTCATGGTGGCAGAAGTTGAGCCTCGCTCACCATCACTTCTACTGCCAACCACAGACGAGACAGATGTATCACCTGTAACAACCCCTGAAGACAACGACATACGCCTACCCTTAGGTTTGGGAAGGCAGTTAATTGAGGATGAAGAAATGCGTCAAGACGAGGAGGTACAGAATAATGAAGGATCTGAATACGCACAAGGTGGACAGTTGGAAGACGACACAGTAGACTGCACAGAGTTCCCCTCTGCTTACGAGAGACGTACAGCTCTCGTTGATTTAGCTCCAGGTGAACTGGCTGAGGGCTACCGTGGCTGAAGGTGGACCGGGTAGTCCCTAAGCCTTCATGTGTTTGAGCATTAAGGCAAATGTTTTTTTTTCTAAAGGGAAATGAGAATGTTAGCTTAAGAAAGCCCATGGAACCATCACAGCACAAAGAATAAGTGTTAAATGCTGAGGTTTCTTCATCGCATCTTCATCTCATCCCTCTAATAACTTTGTTAAATATGCAGAATATAAATGAGCGGATTTAACTTAAACAGCAGGTCCTTGGATTGTTAACCTTCTAGCTTCATTGTGTACAGACTCACCTTCCAATCAGTCCTATAGAAATGCTTAAAGGGACCTGACTGCGCTTCATTTCCTGTTGTACATATCGAGATACAATGATAGTAATAATTACAACATTAACTTACTGTTTCATCATCTGTTCTGTTAGAAGGTCAAAATGCTGTTTTCTCTTTGGCTAAATAATGAATGTCCTCTTGCTTATTTATTTGCTGTCAATCAAATGGTTAATTCAGGATTTTCTTTCTCACAAGACATTTATCTGATTTAATGGTTATATCTGGGCTGGTAGTTACAATAGGGATCCCATTCAGTCTTTCGAATTGTGATTGGATCCCTTCAAAAGTGCTCTCTGCTTAGTGAGCCCAGAGTAATACTGGACTGTAGAGGATTGGAAGCCTCCACTCCTACATGCTGCTAGATCAGTACAAGGAGACAAATTTACAAATGTTTTCATCGGAAATGTTAACAAAATGTTTGCCATCTAAAATCCATACATTTTTATTTTTATAAACTATTATAAAAAGTATTATTTACATAATTTACAAATAAGAGATGATCACGCAACTTCCAGTGATACTAACTGGAAAAAAAAATCTTTATTTAAGGAAGTATTTAAAGAAGCATTAAGTGCAACTTAAATCTTTTTTATATGAATCCTCTCATGAAATGAGTGGCCCCTTGTGCACTTAAGGATAAATGTAAACAGACTGTTAGACTTTGTATTGAGCTCTGTCTCTAAACGTTACACTTTGCGTTTGACTCTAGAGCAGTGTGTTTTGTATTTCCTTTTACTAAACAGAAAAAAACCCATCTTGTTTATATTCCTAAGTCTACACCACTGATTGTCTGAAAACAATCTGGCTGAAGTGAACTTACATGGTTTCTATTATCATTGTTATTAATAATATTATTAATGAAGCTGATGAGGTGTGGTTTTTTACTTTTGCAAACACTTCCCGTCCTCATATTTCAGGATTGAAAATCGAGATCCCCAGTTGGAATGAATGTGTGGATTTGAAAAACAGACACAGCCATTAAACTAACACTTGAATACATCTCTCATTGTCTGAGAACCCCTGCAGCATGCTAACAGCGCATCCCGAGTAACGGCAGAGAGAGAGACCTGGCCAGAAGTCTGAAGTCAACTAAGCAGACTGCTGTATTTTCTTATGCCCCTCTCATATAATTGTAGGGGAAACACTGCACTTTAATCTTTAACATGCTACCTTGAGTCTTTTTTTGTCAAATAAAGGATTTGGTTTAAAACTGAATGGGATGTCCTGATCTTTTCAATGCCATTTGGCTTAGATTTGTGACCATAATCGAATGCTCATCAAAATACTGGCTGTAAACATAACCCATTAAAAGACAGCCAGTTTGTATTAACATGAATTTTAGCAGTCAAACGACAGCTGAGTCTTTGCTGTGGAAATGGCCTACTAAAAAGTTACCACTTAATGTAAGTAACACATTGTTAAATGTGAAGGAAGAAGCACACAGGTCATTCTTCATGCTTCATCTCGTTTGTGCAATCCATGTTCCTTACTATGAAACCAGTCATCTGAGCAACAAGGGAAACCCTGTGTGTGTGTGTGTTTCCTTCCTCTTTGCTGTGTGTGTTTGTTTCCAGTAAGAGTCGGTAACACACTTTAGTTTTACTTCCCATTAGGTCGGATGAGGTTTGAGGGACACTAAAATTAATCTTGGTATCCTGGCTGCAGGTGGAAGAGCTGAGGGTTTCTAGGTTTTAGAGGGTTTAAATTGAACTCTATTTAAAGCCAGTTTGTAAAAATCTGTCTTTTTTTGTCTGGTAACTTTTAGGCTAGTTTGAACACAATGCTGGTTCATCTGCGTCCACTCACCGGGACAGGAACTAAACTCTTGCACATTTCATTACTTTCTTTTTGATGCCAATTCTTAATAAGCATCTGCTATATTCCTAGTTCCACCTTTTTCTGTTCTCAATTAGCTTTTTGAGCTTTCATCCATTACTTTTGGCTTACAGTTTAATTTATCCACTGTTTTAAGCTCACTAAAAAGAATCGAGTTTATTGCCAAGAATTTGTCTTGGGGTCATTTAACTATTGTTAAACAATGTGATCTAATTCAGTATCACTATTTGAATCCATTGCTTTGAACTTATTGTTTCTTTTATTTGTTATTCAAGTCACCATAAGCTGATTCTGCATTAATACAGTACTTAAAAAAATGTTTTCTTTTATTGAAAAGTATTTAAGTCTTTCCAACTTTTCACTGAAGGTTTAATTATCCATAAGTCCGTTTCAGTTGTTATCCAGCACTAGCAAACTCTTTTGACTTTTTATACATGACTACAAATACAATACATAAACATATTTGTTTGTATTTTCAGCATTCATTTTTCCTTTAAGCCTTTCAGTATCTACCTATCAATTATTGCTTAATACGTTCACCTTTTAGTCATTGATTTTTTTTTAGCTATTTCTGTAGTGTTGAGTGTTTTCAGACATTCTCCTTTGCTTTTTCCTGCATATAGCCTTCCTGTTCGAGCTTCTCAGCGTTTATAAAAACGAACCTTTCAGTCATTATATTTCAACATTCATCCATTACTTATGTCACATATTTTAAAAGTCTCTTGAAATTTTAGCTATTTACTAACTATCAACTTATCCAATATTATATAAAAAATATTTATAACATTTATAACATAGTTAGCCAAGTATTTATGGTGCTAGCTATTTCAGCCTCTGATTTATTTATTGTAAATAATATAATATTATTGTAAATATTTTATTTTAAGTACTTTATCCCCATTCATCCAATACTTTTTCTTTTTTATTTCTATCTACCTTAAAGCTGTATAAAACAGATTCTTAAAACAGTTACACACTCCCTTCCTAAAATGCAGGCAAACTTTTATGACATGGATTATTAATTTTGCATGATTAGGATGAGGATTTGCAAAATATCCTCAGCTTCAACATATTTATAACATCAAACTCTACAATGAGTCAGTAAAAAACATGAAGAGCCAGCAGAGAAGTAGTTAAAATGCTATGTCTCCTCTTTTTCTCATAAGGTTTTTTTGCCTTGTCACTGAGATTCAGCATGTGACACGTCTCCAGTTAACCTTTGATATTTCCACTCAAATATTGGGACAGTGGATTGTTATCACCCGTTCCTGTAACAGGTGAAGTGTGTTAATTTCTCTGACCTTCAGAGAACAAAGGGCAGTTAAATCAAATACATCCTCACAGAACTTATAGAGCTTAATTTGGAGAAGGGATGTTTGTGTTTCATGAGTCACTAATCGCTGAATTCAATTTAGCTGCTTCTCTTTTAGGGCCTTCTTATGGCACCTGCATTTTTCCATAGGTCTACACAACTATTTCCTACATTAACCATCATTAAAAGGAACAACTAAAAGTCTGATTGTTTCAATGAAAAAAATACAAGCATACCAAATACCTTTAATAAAACTAGCAATACCCATCAAGCACTATATTTCTGTCTTTTGTACTCTTTGGTTTGTCATCACCAAAGCAACATTTTCTTTTCTTTGAAGCTGAAAACTCAGACAGTTACTGAAGGTGAAGCATTTCTTGTAATTGTTAAGTTGAGCTAATACGTCACTATGTTGTCACATGTAAATTGCAAAAGAATCTACTTCTGTCTGTCCTTGTCATGTCCTAAATGCCATAAAAGGTTTTTGCATCATGGAAGTTGGAGGGGGAAGTTGATGCATGTAAAAGGTTAGGTTCATGTGGCTGGCAGCTTCAGTCAAGGGTCGCTCGCTCTTTGTTGGCTTGCTGTCTGTGCTCCACCAACAGCATCAACACAATGATCCACCTCCTGATGGGAGCCGCGTTGTTGGGAAGTCTGGATGTCTCTGTCACAGAACAAGGTATATTTACATTTAATGATTTGGATTATTGTGTTTATTTTCTTGTTAAATAGACTTGGACTGATTTATTTTCTGTCCAATGATGACAACCTAAATCTGCAAACTCACCCTCTGATAAGTGTTCGTGTCAAGTTTAAAACATCACCTTTCATTTGAGAGTTGTGGAGTGTGTCTTTAAACTAATTGGTCACCATTTGGACATCTTGTGTTTTTTTACTTATGCGTCATGACATGTTGTATTCAGTTACATTTAAGGCTGCGAAAGTGCCTGCAGCACAGCAACAAAGAACTTAACCTACATTAAGTGAATCTGAATTAGTATTACATTTAGTGAAAGGAAAATATTACAGTACACTTTTAGTCTCAAAGTTAATTCAAATTTTCATAATCTCATTTTTTCACAGAAAAAGTACAAATGTTGCACTTGTTAGACCTGACCAAATAAGAGTATAGGGTCAGTGGTGAGGAATCAATTAACAAAGTATTGTAGAGCTTAATAAGCCCTCTAGATTCAAACTCTTTTCTGTAGAACAATTGAAAAAACCCTGCCCCATTTTAAGTTCTAGATAATTTAATTCTATAAAACCTTTGAAAGGAAAGTCGTTTCCGTTTTTTAACTTTACTGCCTTCATCACTGTCCGCAGAGGAATCAGTTATGATACACTTAACTCATTTAAGTGTATCTCATTTAACAACATTTTGTTCGTGTTTGCTGTATTTTATACTTCAGAAAAAGGATAAGATTAGACAAGGAAGGTTCAGAAAAATCCCTTGATACCCACCAAACGTTAAATCTTTTTAACTTCTAAACCCAATTAGACACCTGAATTAAAAGTCAAATGAGCTGTTACGGATATTAGTATTCTCTGTTAAGTGGCACAAGTATATATTGTTTCTTTTTTCACGTGTTTAATTGACTCTCTTGTCTACTGGTAAACCACCATGTAATCAATATCTTCCTTAGTTCCAGTGATGCTTGCTCCGCCCACCCAGGTGAGGTTTGACTCTGTGAACTATAAAAACATCCTGCGCTGGACTCCACCCAACACCAGCCACCCACTGCTGTACTACATTCAATGGAAGATGTGAGACATTACACACACACACACACACACACACACACACACAATAAAGGCTCCTTATAAAATATGTCAAAGTGTAGATCACCAGTATGCTGTGCTGAAGAGCTCGAACATTTTGTCCTATAGTACAGTACTTAAGTACAATTCTGAGGTATGTAACTCTAATGGAGTATTTCCATCTTCTGCTACTTATTGCTAGTCCTGCACTGCATTTTGGAAGCCACTACAGTTTTGTTTTACTTTCTTTTGTTAGAAATTCCCCATCTTCTGTTTCCCACTTACCAAAGGAGTCCCTCAAGGATCAATTTCAGGCCCACTACATCCTTATTATTAATAATCAAGCTACTCAGCAACAATAGTAATTGCTGGCTAGCTTTATTTACGTTCATGTAATGTTTGACACGCTGGAGACAATAATATTTTCAAAAAGTTCCAAAGAACTTGGACGTTTCAAAAGAAGCCTCTCCTAAGATCTCCGTCCTTAAGATGCTGTGTACTGTTATTATAATGAGGTCAACCTTTACCAGTGGCAATAGTAAAATAAAAAAAAACATCAGCTGCTCATTTCTGGATTTGTGTCTCCTCTCTGTACTTATCAGTTATGGAGAGCCTGAATGGTTGGATGTGGATGGCTGTCAGGGGATACAAAAGCTCCAGTGTGACCTCAGCACTGTGACCTCTGAACCCAGAGAGTGGTACTACGCCCGAGTGCACGTCTCCTCCCTGCCCTCCAGCAAATCAGCCTGGGTTCTCTCCCCGAGATTCAGCCCACGTTGGGACAGTAGGTTTTTGACATGTCTTACTCTAACTTACAGAATAATTGTCTGCATCTTCTCTTCTTAACTGACTTGCTTCCCTGAAGTTATTCAATAAAATACAAAGAAAAATAGACAAGAACAGTAGACAAGTTCTTATTTAAGAGAGAACGGGTATGATATCCAATATCATTTAGAAAGTGAGGAAATGTGTATAAAGTAAATGTTTAATGACTAAATTATAAGAACAGCAGAGTCATATAAGTGCCACAGTGTACACTGAACATATACGAGCACTCAGTCGCTTTTTCTCAGAATAATTCAAGTACTGCTGGATGACAAATTACAGTTCTGACGTTGCCCAAACTACATGGACATGTTTCTCCCTGATTTTTTTTAAATGCACTTTTTTTAATCCATCATCTCTTCTGATCCTCACCTCTGCAGCAAAGATCAGCCCTCCCGCTCTGAGGCTTAATGTCACAAATCAAGGGGTGGTGGTCAGCGTGAGATCCCCCAAAGCTCTGGTCAAGAAGATGCAACGCAGGCTGCATTACAAGATTTACCTCACACACACAAGTGGACAGGAGGTAAGATACAAGTGAGACGCCTTGATTTTGGTGTTTTACAAGTTAAACAAATGTACATCAACAATGATGCTAGCAGTTTAGAATTTATGAATATTAGCTGGACATAAAATTAAATGGAAAATATTTGGTGGCCACGTCCAATCCTTTGGATTATAATGAGATTTGCTTTCAACAACAACAACAACAACTCTCTATTTCAAAATCTCTCTATTTTTCTTATAATATAATTTTTAAATAAAGTCATTTATGAATTTTTTAAGGTTTCTCTCCTGTAAAAGTATAAATGTGTCTCTGACTTGTAATAACTTTAAGAATAAGCAAAAATGTTTTCCGCATGTCATTCCCCGCTCTCACTCCCTGGTTTCCGACTCTATCCACTGTCCTCTCTCTGCATTAAAGGCACGAAAAGCCCAAAATAAATCTTAAAAAAAAAAAAGAATAAACAAAAGTATAAAAACTTGAAGAATTTAATGTATTAATTTCAGGGTCACATACTTACACTTTCCATAGTCTATGTACGTTACCCTGAAATAGAAAATACCTAACATAATAATAAAAATACAAGTTAGAAATACATATTACTTTTAAACATTTGCTGCTACCATTTTAAAAATGAAGAGGAAGAAGAAAGGCTAGAGGAGGCGGAAGAGGAAATGTAGAAGAAGGACATGAAAGAACAACACTATGAAAAAGCTCTTTTTCTACATCTAACTTTTTCATTGTGTTGCCCTTTAAGACCAAATTTTCCTCCCAAATTACACAGTACCTTATGTTAGTTGTATTTCAAATGTATATCCACGCTACATTGTCCCCTGATCTTGTCTCTTTGTATGTGTTATCTGTTCTTCAGGACGTGCTTGAGATGGAGTGCTGCTCTAACAAGCTGAATCTGAAGGAGCTAAAACACGAAGAGAGATACTGCCTCCAAGCTCAGACCACCATCCCCCACCAGGCCAAGAGCAGCCCTCTTAGCTCCTTGAAATGTGTCACTGCACCCTAATCACACAGGTATGATCAAGCACAGTCGAGAGGTGCTTAAATCCTTACTTTAAGTATAAGTACTATTTACTGGAAAAATACTCTCCTAAAAGCAGAAATCCAATAACCTCACTAAAATAATGAATAGAAGTATTATCCACAAAATGTACTTTAAGAATGTTTGTTTGACATGCGCAAACATGTGACACATATTTCATAGATGATCACTGTTCACCGTTTTTCTCAAAGTGTTGTGAATAAATTAGTGGCAAACAAAGTAACAGGAATATATAAAAGACAGGATATTTAAAAGCCTATAGAAAAAGGGACATTTAATCATTTGGTTAATCATAACAATTCAAGTTCAATTTCACCAAACAATAGGAGATGCTTTTCATTGGTTACTGTGCTTCATTTGCATAAAAGTGTTTGAGCAAATTGACTTAATGACAAATACACAAACTAAATGTAAGTAATTGTAGTTACACAAAACGTGTTGGTGTTAGAATCTCCTGTAGCTGTGAAACAATGGCACATCAACTCATCTTTCTCCTTAAATGGTTGGGTAACTCAGGGAAAAAACTTTTTCAGAGGTGCAGAACACTGACTGAATGCAGAATCCAGATGTAGTAAAAAAGGAAAAAAGAAAAGCTACTTAACCCGTGAGAATGTTACAAGTTTCTGCTTTGTGCGACTGTGTCAGTGCTCCTCACAGACCAGCTGGACAGTATCGTTAGCCAGTGAAAGGTAAGCTCTCTGTTGTAACAAAAGATTACCCAATGAGAAGTCACATATCGGCTGTCGCAGAACAATCGCCCGAGGCAGCGAGACAGAAAGAGGGAGGGAAAATGAAACTCCTGGAGGAGAAATCTTAGCAGGAGATTTTCTCCACAATGACTATAATTACCTCTGCTCACCCCACCCTTTTCACTATTTTAAGATGTGCGATGGAGTGTAGACTGGAGATAGTGTAACTCTGGAAAGTTATTCCTTTGTGCAGTTCATTAATCTTTCTTCTCCCATCTTTTTCTTTGTCTTTTTTTTTTCTCTTTTAGAAAAACTTCCAACATGATGCATTGAGGGACTGCAATTATATCGGTTTAGCTTTGATTTTTGTTTTTACCACTACCTCGACGGCTGCAGTCAAAAAAGTCAGTGCCAAAAAATGTGACTCACTTTATCATGAAAGGCATTAAGAATCGCACATTTTTGTTTGAACAGTAGGGTCGAATTTAACTTTGAGTGCGCAGAATATTTGAGGTGAATGGTTTTATCCTCCTATAATCTTTAGCTGAATTGCTTCAATCACAAGTATAATTGTTTTGTCTTTTTCTTAAAATTTTTGGCTTTGTTTTGTTACTTTTCAAAATATGTCTTCGGACATAGGACAGTGACAGTGACATGGAGTTGTATCAATTGGCTTGCTTATAACGAAACACTAACTTTTTTTGTTGTTGTCCCATCTGGTGATATCACCCAGAATGCCAAATGTAATATTCTTAAACAATAAATGAAGTTATATCTTTAAATAAACTCACAAGTCTTAGTAAGGGAAGTAGTTCAGACATTTAAAAGTGTACAAGAATACATAATCTTTGGCTCCCCACCCCCCCAATATTGAGTTTATAGTTATTCAGTAATCAGATTTGAATTAGTCAGGACTAATGATTTACATAATCACTTCTAAATGGAGTCAATTCATGACCACCAGATGAATATTTGGATTTAACGTTGAACATTGTTCATTTCATTTGTACTTGATCAAATGTAGTTTGATTAATTTAAAGTTTTATTTCCCTTGTGTATCTTATCCATGTGTGACAATCAATGAGTATCATATTGAGTTTTTTTGCAAAGAGCTTTAGTGTAAAACTGTTCAAATGCACAACTCTAAGAATGTAACATGCAAAATGTAGTTGTTGGAAATCTCATCGCAAATAAAGACACGCTGGTTAATTCTGTCTTATTGTTTGCTCCTTTTTTGTTAATGAAAACTTCAAATATAAAAGATAAGTGTAACTCAGATTCTCTTCATGTCAACCAATCCAGCAAAAGTAATTAAATAAATTATGCTTTTTTAAAAAACTTTTTTATCAATACTTCCTTTCCTGACCATGTCTGTTGCAATCAGCTTCAAGACGATTGATTCTTCAGAAAACTTGTGTTGTTCAATGACAATATACTTACAATGCTGACGTAGATTCCCCTTGTACTTGGTGAGTACCTACTCTGAAAAATAGGCACAGTCTGCACTAGCTCAGGAGCTCCGTCCTAGCAGTATTAGTCAAAATTCTATACAGCGATATGGGGGCGCTGGTGGAGCAGTGGTTGGTACGTGCGCCTCATGTACAGAGGCTGTGGTCCTTTAAGTGGGCGGCCCAAGTTCCCCACTATCTCTGATTTCCGGCTCTGTCCACTGTCCGGTCACTCCAATGGAGGCACAGAAGGATCCAAAAATAAATCTTGATTATTTAAGAAAAATAAATTATACAGCGATGTTAACATTTCTAGATTATTATTTTTTTAAATAACACCAGCCTGGTCCGGTACGGTGCGTCCTGCAGCAACACAGGAAAGGTCTATAATTAAGCTGTCAATGGGCAATCTCTAGGGAAATGCTTATACCAGGATCTGAATATTTGCATCCTGATACATGGCTTTGTTTCAGTTTATATTTCGACCTAAATTATTGCTAATCTGTGACTCGTATATTACGGAAATAAATCTGCACAACGGAGGTCCATTTGTTTGAGTTACAAACAGCATCATTTTTTCATAAATCATATGCCATTTTGCAACACAGTTATCAGAGGGACCTTATTTATTGAAACGATAATTAAATACTAATCTAGTTTACTTTGGATGTTCATATGAGCTCAGTGATGAGGTTTTGGATTTTTGTAATTAAAACACACAATCTGATGTTTCTATCTTTGTGGGGTCCACACACTCAAATTGCTTCTTCTGTCTTCCGGGTTACCCACAAACGTTTTTATATATCTTTTTAGGGTCTCTTAAATAATGTAGTTCCATCTTTGAGGATACCCATACACGTATCGGTTTTGATATCTTAGACTTAGAGTCATATTTTAGTGGTCACACACATTATTGTTTTTAGGACGTGCACACGATCCTAGATTGTTTTTCGTTGGGCACACATGCACAAATTGGTTTAATATGATAGGATTTTACTCAAATACACTCACTGTTGATGATGATTTATACTGAAACACACACACATGCACAAACTGGCTTTTAAAGTTCCTTCAGTCTGAAATCATTTTAATCTAAATATACATTTGATTATTTATTAATTTATCTATTATCAAGCAATTCTTATCAACGCATTAAAAATAATCTTATAATGCAATGTGATGATATATTAGACATTAGAATTTGCCCATTGTACTAAGTATACTGCACACTTGAAAGCAGGGGCTTGAAATTGAGTATTGTTCTATTGCTTTTTCTTGTGTAAATAATACATAGCCTAATACATTTTTCAGCATTTCTTAAAATGTAATATAAAACACCATCAAATACTTGATGCATTCAGTCTCAACACAAAACAAAGGCAGCTTTGAGTCTCACTTCGACTTTATTCAAAATAACTTGATTTTCTTGTTCAATCAGGCATGAAATAACCAATACTGTAATGATAAAAGGAACTGTTCACTGAAACAGATGTACTCAAAGCTAAATCTGACACATTCAGGGTGACAGAGATGTTCAGTGATTTAACAGGAAGTCCTGTTATTGATCAGAGGGTGAAGGGCGTTTCGGCAGCAGCACTGCACCTCTGAGGTTGTTTTGTGAATTTTCCATACAGAATAGTTTTCTTTGTAAGAATTTCTCACTAGCAGCTAGTTCATTTAGTGGTTTTGGTCCTGAAGACAGAGAGGCCTTAGAGCTGGTAGAGTTGAATTTGGTCCCATAGCCAGAAGCCTGAATGCATCATATTGATAACTGGTATCAGAAATATTCTTCTGCCATCTAATGTAGTGGAATGTTTATTCGACACCTTGTTAGGCTTAATACACAGCCTTTTTTTGTTAACTTCTTGCCAACAAGTGGACAACAAACAGCAGATCTCACCCTTTAAATGCAGGATGTTCAGAGGAATGTACAGCACCTGTTCATTATGGTATTTACACATAACCCCGTATAGATTCAAAAGGGTAAATCCAGTGATTCCTTGGCTTGTAAACTGCACTTTTAAACTTGACGATAAGTAAGGCCTTAAAAGTGTCGCGTCGACAGTAAGTGGTCATAAAATACATAATATTGGATACTTCACATTCTAAATTACCTCAAAGATGCCAGAGTGATGCATCTGCAATCACAATGATATGTACACTGTTTTGAAGTTCATTTTTCACTGTTATAGAGCCCTTGTTTCCTCCTTCAAAAGTGGTCAGATTGTGCAATGAACTATTCAAAAGTAGACTGTACAAAGGCTGTAGTAAAAACTTGGGGGAACAACAACCTCAGTAAGCAAGAATGGATGTAAGGATTATCTGTATAGAGAGGCCTGGGAGTGACAACGGAACAAAACAGTATATAGTCTGCAGAGTCTGCATCAACACTGTCAGGTTGATTAAGCCTGTGGGAAAACATATTTAAATGTAGTAATTACCATTTTAGTTATTCCTTAGAATGTTATTCATCTGGCCTTAAGTCTACAGTATACTTAGTAAATACACAGTTCAACTTTTTTATGTCGCAAGCCAAAAACTGTGTTCCTGAATATCCCCTGAACTCGATCAAATTTAAAATGAGATGAAAACCAGTCATCTCAAATTTAATACAACAGTGCATTTAGGTATTTCAACAGCCTGCGGGCAAACCACAGTACAATGAGGATATGCTTTAGACATGAGACTCTTGAGCACTTGAAGGTTCAGGTCAGTCAAGTTTAGAGTGCTCATCTGTCTGAAAATAGGAGCCTAGTGTTTGGTCACTCCCAGGCTGTGTAGTATTAAGTACATGACTTGAATGTGTAATGATGTAGTGTCCATACTGATGCAGCCAATCATGAATTCATTATTCTGCAGCAGGTTTTCCTGACATGACCATTTGAAGCAGATGCTGCAGTGTGCTGAGTTAAACAAAAAAAAAAAAACTCTTCTATAAATACTCATGGAAAAATTCTTATTAGCAACACATGACCTCAATAGTCATTTCGAATATCATTCAACTTTGAACAAAAAAAGTGTCTACGTTTTGTTTTGTAAGACTGTCGGTTTTTATCTTCCTGAATCTTTTAATCACTCAGGGTATTCTTGTAGGAAAAGTACCTGCATGATGCATTATGTAACTGGTACCTTTAGCTAAATCTGTACTGCAGCATCACAGACTGTCAAAACACAAGAACATAAAAACATAAAACAGCATATATAAGCAATACAAAACAACTTCCAGCATTAGGCTGATACTGGATAAAAAGAAATATTTACAAACAAAGCATAATGTTTTTTTTTTTTTGTTCAACATTTTAAGGGTACATGCATGCATGATTCTCAAGTCAAAATATCTAAAAGCGTGATAGCACAACTTAGAAACTGACATGGAATGTATGTCCAGTGGGTTGCTAAGGTAAGGTCAAGTCTCTTCATATTAAATTACCTATAAAAATATATATATAAATAAAAAGGTGAGGGTATTGTGTTGCGAAAGCTGCAGCAGCGGTCAACGTTAAGCTGCACCGACATTAGAGAGAGGAAGAGGGTAACAAAGGGAGATAGAGATGAGCAAACAGAGATGGCAGTCGAGCACCCCCTGAATAGGAGGAAAAGCTGCTGTTCCAGGTCTGTAATGTTGCTCAGATTTCAGAACTATGTGCTGGTGTGTGTGTGTGTGTGTGTGTGTGTGTGTGTGTGTGTGTGTGTTCTAGAACACGACAAGGCAGTGTGTAAGGTCTCAGGCATTCTCAGACTTAGATCGTGGTGCACATTCGAGAACTCCTGTGAAACAGTCTTCTAGAGTCTCACACTTTTTTGCTCTGAAACACTGACAATACTGTGTTCTAGAACTAAGAACAAGCTGGGTTTTTCATGACAAAAGACAGCAGGTTCAAAACCCTCCAGGAGTTTTAGGCCAAAAAACTGTCAGACGCATGTTCTTGAACACACTAGATTGTATAGGAAGAGGTACAACCGAAGCAGATCACTTTTCGGGATCCTAAGAGAGGAAGTCGTTCTCCAGTTCAAAGACAGAGGGCCTTGCTGGGGAACTCTGAATGCGGCACAGAGGCACGGTGCAGTCTCGTTTCTGGCCCTCTGTGTCCATGTCCAGCAGGGAGCAGCCCATCCCCACATCTGAGGTCAGTACCATGTTTAGGTTTTGTGCTGTCTTTCCACCGGAGTAGTGGCCCAGCGAGTAACTCTTGTTGCGTCCTCTCAGCAGGGCCCAGGCGTGGGGTTTGGCCCGGAATGACACCGGCCGGGGTCTGGAGAAGGCCTCCCCACTGGAGGGCTTCTCTGATGCTACATCCTTCTCTTTCTCCTGCTTCTTCTGTGTGGCTGGAGGAGGCAGAGCAGGAGGGCCATTTGCTAGAAACAAAACAGGGGAGTAACGTTAATATTTTTTTCAGACACATGGTTAATTTCCTCAACCTGTTTTGTTTAACTCACTATTGTGGTTTGTTGTGTATTTCTTCCTGCGTAGTCGTGTTCCTATATTGTGGTTGCTCTGCTCCTGTGGCTTGCTTTGGGTTTGCACTGATGTCTGTGTGTTTGCTGCAGTCCGGCTGGTCTGGCTCTCTGTGGATGCTGCTGGGTCAGGTCTTGCTGGCTCTGTGTGATGATTGACAGCCACGAGGTCAACCTTGGCAGGATGACACTCTGACACTTCAGCCTCAGACTGTAAGAGACACTTGGTGGAGTTGCATTCTATGATGGCTGACATGGAGATGAGATTGACGGGAGGGGTGGAGGTGTGGTTTGACAAGGCTGCTTCTTCTTTGCGGGGGCGACCACTAGGTGGCGAGGTGCTGCGGCGGAACCGGGTTGCACGCTGAAACAGGCCCTCCTTCTTCTTCTTCTCCTTTTCCTCACGCTGAGGCTCGCAGTCTTCCCCAGAGTTTTTTAGAGCTTCCCTAATGTCGTAACCGAGCACGACAGAAGCCAGCAGCGAGCCGCAGCCGTACAGCACAGAGTCAGTCTTGCGGCGAGCTGATGTCCGCTTAAGGCTGTTGGTGGGGGTGAGCTGTGGGGTGGTGGAGGTGGACGAGGTGGATGTGGTAGTGTAGGGGTCGTCTGCAGTCTCTAGTTGACCACCTTGACCCGCTACCCCGACCCCTGCATCTCCCTGCACACTGGGGCTCTGAGGCTGCTGCTCATCCCTACACAGAGGTAGATCGATGTACACCTGGTTGGGGAACTTGAGCTGCTTTGGCTTGGAGCTGCTGTCAGGACATTCCTGGGAGAAGGGTTCATCTTTACCGGCTGGAAATACATCAATGGGATCAGATATTATAAACACATGACTGATGGATAAACACTCTGCTGTTTGATCAACCTGAACGTAAATGAATAACATGTACCATTTAGTCTTACAGAAAATGTAAATCGGACCAGTACTGACAAGAAAAACAACAACAATTAAGAAGCAAAATTTCCACAACAAATAAATATCAAACAATAACAAAGGATTATACTCATTTTAAAGATACATCACAACGGTTTCGTAGCTCACCTTGTTCAGCAAACAGTGCAGCGAGAGGGACAGACTTCTGAGACTTGACCAGGCTGGTGGACCAGGGGTTACTGCCGTCTGACAGAGGACGCACTCTGAAAGACATCAAGTAAAATTTCAGAAAGGTACCCTATGTGGGGCGCAGTAGCCTTTGGTAAGGAAAATAAATAAATGCAATAAATAAGAAATTAAATACATTTTCACCAGTTTAATTAAATATAGTTTTTTGGTAGGACATTTTTATTTTTTCTACAGTGGCAGTAAACAAACATGAACATTTCAAATGGAAAAAACCCCATAGACACCGGCTAGTTTAAAACTTGACTTTTGCCAACCGACCCAAACATCCTCCTCACAGGGTTGTTGCGATTGGCCAGTTACGTACGAGCTTCCCTTGAGTCGTTGTTTGATGCAGAACTGATACATTTTTTCAAAGACTAAATACCATCGAGGTCGCTCACAGATGCAGATCAGACACACATTTATTAAAAGGAACATTTAAATGTAAAATTGCTAGTGACATACAATGATCAAAATGTGTTATTTTAACCAAAATGTTCACAAAATTACATCACATACTGTAGCTTTAAGTCATAGTTCAGTGTAGTTATGTTGCTTAGAAACAGCCAGGAACCAAGTGGTGGCCAGTGTGTGTGTGTGTGTGTGTGTGTGTGTGTGTGTGTGTGTGTGTGTGTGTGTGTGTGTTTCAGTGTTAATGTGTGTGCATGTATTATTGTGTGTGTTCAATGTACCTCTCAGCAGCAGCAGGCCTTTCTTTACTCTGTACTGAGCTGGGGCCCCAGGTCCTTCCTTTCTTCTTGATTCCCTTTTTCACATCATCAAACTCCTCCGGCCTGAAGAGGGTGCTGCGGCCCCATGTACGATTGCTCTCATCTTGAGTTACTGTCAACACAGAGACCACAGGTATAACAAACAGACTACAGCAGCTTCAGCAAGCAGTTGTTGTGAAACTGACCTTGACCCGTTACTTATATAATAATATATAATAATAAGCCATTGCAAATCCTGGGAGTTTATATCGTAAATGTGAATAACCACAAAACTCATCGAGGTTCTCTCTCAAAAGTTAACTTACAGTGGATAGATTTAAGCCTTTGATATTTCTAGAAAAGCTTGTTTCATGATGTTTCAGGGTGACATTTAACTTTTATTTACAAGAAAATAACAATTTCTATACATTTATAATCAAAAAGCCAAATAGCAGAAACCAAAACCAGAAAGGATGGTGTTATAAAAGTATTTTAGAGGAGTTTGTTAGTTATTGTGAAGTTGTTAAAGTTGCTAGGGAAGGCAGGACCCATCAAAGACATCCTGGCAATAGACTTGGGTCAAAATATGGTTCAAATGTGTGACTAAACATCATTACCAGCATTATTTAAAGTGTCAGATATCCAATCATAGTCACATTATTAGCACTCAAAAACACATATGGACTGCAAACTGACCCAAGCCTGCGGACCAAATCTTCAAATTGTTACTTCCTCATTTGTGGAACCCGCCAAAACATTTTACCAGCAATAGCCAAAGCCTTGTTATAATCCACACATCAGGAGACCCTCACCAAAACAGAAAAAAAAAACAAAAAACCCTGATGGTAAGCCGTCCGACATCTAACCCTTTCACTTGTTACAGTTAGCCAAACACTACATGCAGCGATCGTCTGTTACGCTGCATGTGGGTAGCCGAACGCTTGCCTGTTCTCTTGAGCCCACAGTAGCCTGTGAGCTCACTGGTCAGATCAACATCCTGTTGGTAAACATGCAAAATGTCCCTCTGCACATGAGATGTCACTAAGGAAGGAAACATACATGTTACCCCCATCCAACATGAGCATTATGACACAGATATTTTAAGCATTAAATCCTAGACGTTGTTTTACACTCCTTTAACTATCTGTCATCTGAAGTACCCTTATTACTTGGCCTCTGCTATTACATAATCATTTTGTCGTATTCATGATAGTTGTGGAAAGTCTACATGCATATACATATATTCACTGGCATTCTAGATACTGGCTGTATTTTAAAGTATAACTTTGATTTAAGGCTATAAAAATAATAATCATGACCTTAAATGTGATTGAAATATGCATTGAAATGAATCATTGAGACATGTGATATGTGTAAGAGTCTGATTGTTTATTACAAACAAACATGTGTCCATGTCTCCAGGTATACTTTATGCACTGCAAAACATTTCCCACCGTTACGTGAAGCACTTTTTTTTCTCAGCATGGAATCAATCCACATTGAAAAAGTTGACATGTTATGCCTTGAGAATATCTATACTTACATGTTTCTGACAGAACAATAAAGATCATCTATATTACTTGTAACTAAAGCATCTTTTTACATTAGAAATAGTTAGGACATGTAGTTTTATATCTATATATAAAAACTACATTTCTTTACTTAGAAGCTACATAATGTACCATTTGCTAGTACAATTCATGTAATCAGTGAAGTTCTGCATATTTCGTTAACAGTTCATATTTAAAGCAACTGTGAATTGTTTTGGCCATTTTTAAAGAATTTTCAAATCCTGAGAAATAAGCAACAATGTGGCCCCTCTGCCTGAATATCTGGATCTTACATAAATGCTCCGGAGGAATTTGTTCCAGTTTTTGTAGGGGCGTCGGTGCGTTACTAACAACATTATCAAACTGTTTAAACAACTGGCTGACTGCTTCTGGCTCCGGAGCTTTTTGTTCACACAAGCTTTTGTCAGTGTGAATGACACTGTCCCCGTGAAATTCTCAGAGAGTTGATGAGAGGCCTATTTAACTTAATCGAGACCAAAACATACACCTAATTTCTGACACAGACACGGAGGAGACTATCAGACTCACATGGAGGAAAATTTAATTTTGAAAAACACTGAACTTACGCTGAATGGCTCTTAACCTCGGGATGGGAGTAGGACTGCTGGGAGGAGAGGAACTGGTGCTATGAAGACTTCGCCTCTTGTCCATGGAAGGCGATGCCTGCACGGTGATTTTATGCTGGAAGTCTGCAAATGAGACACACACACACAACAAATGAGCAGGGGCACTTCTAAGAGTAGAACTAAAACTGTTTTGATACATCTTGTAGTCAGAGCTGGCTCAGGCATGGACTAGACCCTAGTTATGCTGCTATAGGCTTAGACTGTCTTTTCCTCTATCTGTATGTGTTCCGGTTGTATTCATGCAAGAAGCTAACTTTGAGTCTTTACGTCTCATTCATGTTACTAACAATATATCTCTCTGGGAGTTCTTGAGCTCTCTTGTCTTGTAGGTTCTTTTGGATAGTTGATGTTGATGGCCTGTTGCCATGGACATGTCTGACTCCAACTGCTACTACTAAAAAACATAACTTTTTTTTCCAACAGTTATAAAGCTAATGTTAATCTTAGAGCTGCTTGACTCCACTTAATTGATACCATCTGTCCTCCCACTACCATCATTATAGTTGTTATTGCTAATATCAGACCTGCTGACTTTAACTGTAATAATTATGATAAGTCTCTTACTCTGTTGTCTCTCTCCTACTCTTTCTTTCTTTATCCCCCTTACATCACACTCTCAAAGCTCAACATGGTCCCAGCAGAAAGTGATCATCATGAGTCCAGTTCTGCTCGAGGTTTCTGCCTGTTAAAAGCAAGTTTTCTGTACCGCTTCTATACTTATTTAAATGTTTTGTTCATGGTTAATACATGTTGTGTGTCTCTGTTAATAATATGATTGCAGAGTGTCTGAGATAATAGTGTCATGAATTGGCACCATACTAATAAAAATTGGTTGATTGATTAGGATCAATACAATCTAAGAGCAAGAGAGATAATGCAACATCATTCATCCTGTGTTATGGTCACAGTGTAATGCAAATGTTGCTTAGAATGAAGTTAGAATGGTTCAGTGTTAAAGTTTGCCAACTTTGTCCATGGACAACACTAGTTATCTACTTACTTAGTATACAGATTAAGTTCAGCTGCACTTCTAGAGATTTTGTTGTTGACACAATTTTCTGATAATCTGATTGTGAAATAATACACACTGGTTTTCCAGGGAAGTTTTCTTGAAAAGAGTCTTTCACAAGGGAAGGGACTTATTGAATCAGAGCAGCATTTGTTGATGTAGGGCACCACTAGTCCTCCCTTTAGTGAACATCAAACATCTCTAATATCTCTCTTAACCTTGGACACAGTAGCATTCAACTTTTTAACAGTCAAGGCATGTAGACACTCACCTGAGGGCAGGCTGATGCGGTTTCCATCCTTCAGTTTAAGTCGGGAACGTTTGAATTTGCCCTTCCTCTTCTTCACATTGGGCTTGTCTTTGTTAAGTTGGAAAATTAGGATGTTCAGCTCCCTCTCCAGCACATTGATCTCCCGTTCTGCCAGTTGCTGCTCCCGGCGCTTCAGCAGCTCCTCCTGAGACTTCTGCTGGAGGGCGGCCCGGGTCAGCTCCTCCTCTCTGGAACGTAGCTCCTGGAAGAACCAGGAATAGAGATACGTAAGGGGACTGGCAGACAAGTGTGCAAGTAAACCAGAGATTAGGACAGTGGCGGTCTAGGTTGTGGAGTTATACACAGGTGAAGTTCCCAAACATCTGTAGCCCAATTATTTATTTCTAGATTGCTTCATAAGGCTGCATTAGCAGTTTATAGCATCAGACTCGCATCTCTCCAACCCTAACTGCCAATGGTTGAGTTTCACTGATTCAAACAGGCACGCAGTTTGAAAAGGGAAAAGGATATCTATATTTACTTGATATTTTTTGTACAACACATTGAAAAGCCCTAGAAATGTATGGCTCAATGATTGGCAAACACTTTGAACTAAAACAAAGATCAATAAGATAATATGAGCATTTATTAAGATCAAAAAGTCCTTTATGGAATCAGAGAGTATTTCTTTTACTCTGAATTATAATTAAGCTCTAACTTCATGCTTCTGTTTTCATTACCATCAAATTTCACATGTACCCCTCCTCTAGCTTGTAATATACATCAGGTAAAATCACTTTATAAAGCCTCTTTTAGTGAACCCAACCTGTATTGATCATTAGTTTAGACACTTAAGTAGGAAATGCATTGCAGAAAGTCAAACACTGTATAATTCTCAGACAACAGGAGAACAGCTCTATCAGACAGATGTCTGTAAGTGAGGAAGGAGTGTTTGCCTTGTATTAGAGAACTTTGTCTGGAATAACCTGCTTTCAGGAGCTTACTGCCCACTGTCTTGGCCTGTGTTACACAGAGTAAGCCATGGGAGCAGACAGGTCTGTGCTCAATCTATTTTCTGTCTAATTGCTCTCAGTTGAGTAATAATAATCCTTACTGGATGACTTCAATAAAGCAGCTTTACAGTCAAACCCCTACCACCCACCTAGACACAGATTACTGAGGGATGTTTACAGGGAAAAAACTGCTGATGTAGCAGCTCATTCAGCAATTAATCTTGTGAAATTTGCGATGGGAAAAAATGTTAGTTAATGCTTTCAGCTCTTTTTTCCCGCTGCTCTGGATGTATGAAATCTTCAGATTCGGATTCTGCTCTAAAGTCTTTTGTTGTAGTAAATACACGTGCAGATTATATTAGAGTGTCTAAATGATTAAACTGGATTATTGGAAGTTACACAACAAAAGAACACATGTAATAAACACAATTTTCATCAAATCAATATGAACTAGAAGGTAGAAAACATAAAGATGTAATAAAAATAAATGACATCTACTCTATAAATAATAAAACAATGCATGTTCAGTATCCTCGTCATTCAGTTCATTACAACTTGACTCAGCTCTAAGTGCTAATCCTGCTGTTTTCCCCAACACTAATTAACCCACCTCTTTAAGCCAGCAATGGGAGACTTCTTCAGGAAGCAGATTAAGGTCTTAACAAGGGGAAGTATGCTTAAGCATCTCGGTATTAACGACTGGTTTTGTTAAATGCGCGATTAGCTCGTCCACTGAAAGTAACCAATTACACTTTTCAGCTCATAAAAGCTGCCCCGAGTGAGTCAGTATGGCCAGACTACATCTTAATAATGGATTACTTTAAAGTGTATAATTAATGAAAAGAGCAACCAACAGAACACGTGGGATAACAAGCCTGTTAAATGTACTGTACTTAGGTTTCCAAATTCCCACGCTGTGTGAGACAGAGTAGAGGGAGGAGGAAATAAAGCTTACACTTCACACATCTAGACACTTGTCTGCTTTCATACTGTTTGTGTGGACGTCTGTGTCTTTTTTACATTTTTATCAGTGACCTACCTTCTCTTTGGTCCTGAGCTCATCAAACATCTCCTGGATCTCCACACGCCAGTCGTCCTGCATGCTGTGGAATGAGTCCTGGGGCATCGTGGCCATCACCGCCTCCTCAATGGCAGACAGCTGCTCCATGATGCAGGAGAAGGAGGGGCGCACATGGGGGTCCTGGTCCCAACACTCTGGACACACAAACACACATTGTTGATCAAATTAACTTTTATTTATGTATTAAGTCCCAAATCATCACAAACGTTTAACCCAAAAAAAAAAAGCAGGTCTAAAACCTACTCTCTGTCATGTTATTGAAACACAGATTAGTTTTAGTGTTATAGTGTTTGTTAATGGGCCAGGCTTTAAACTAAAGTCACCAGTGTTTACACTGTATGTATGGTTTCATCTGAGGTTTGCTTCCCAGTTACCACAGATTCCAAGCCAGTCTGTCGACAAAAGAGCCAGTAAGTAAACTTAATGGAGACTCTTTATCAAACTTACTAAAACACATATTTTGTCTAATCAGAAAAAAATAGCCTTCCATGTTCATCTATGTTCAGGCCTATTAGTGCCTGCATGGTCATTTAGTGGACAATCTTTTCTTTAAAATCCCTTTTATTCTTTACTGAGGGGATGTTTTTGATGTTTTTTTTTAACTAAAAGAAGGCAAAAAATATTCCAATAATTATGTACAAGCGAAAAAAAACAAAAGAAGAAAAACTAGCACAGTCTAAACACATTGAGGATGTAAGATAACTGAGCATTTACAGAATCAACAGGTTTTTAGTTTTGCACTGTATTTCTGGTTTTTCAGTTTCCTCTGTTGTTGTTTCCATGGCTGCAAAAAGTACAGAAAAAAACCCTACCATTGGAATATCTTATTTAAATGATAATAATGTTTCAATTTGAAAAAAATGCAAAGAATTGTACAAAATACTCGATCTTTTAATTGTTCATTTTATAAGAATTTGGTCAGTGTGTTCTTATCAGTCAAAAAATGATGCCATAAAAATGATGGATCCTGAAGTGAGATTAAAAAGGAAAACATTGTTGTGTTTATTTACCTTCCATTAGCTTGGCGAACGGTTCTGGGCAGGTGGAGGGGATTGGTAGAGTTAATTTATTTACAGCGACACCGTACGCCACAGCCAGGCCGTCTATCCCCCGGTACGGAACCTCCCCGGTTAACAGCTCCCATAGCAAGACACCGTAACTGGTGAAGGAAATTTAGGGTAGGAATATTACACAAAGGAATGAGTTATGATGTCAGAAATGAGTACGAATAGATATTTTATCCATGTTCCTGTTATCTATCTTACCCCCAGACGTCACTGCCTTTGGAGAACAGAGATGACTTGATGACCTCAGGGGCCATCCAGGAGTAAGTGCCTGCGGCGGACATTTTTGTGGTTCTGTGCCACTCCCTGGCCAAGCCGAAATCTGTGATCTTCAAGGTCTTCCTCCCGATGTCGTCATTCTCAATCTTTTCAAGTAATAAAACTGAAAAGAAAGCGGACAGGAAAGTGATACATTAGAGGGAGGCCTTGGAGACTGGAAGGTAAATAGAGACACATTTCAGAGAAATGTCTGAAATCAGTGATGAGTGATGGAGAGAAAAGGAAAAGTGGAAAGACTGGAAAGGGATAAAAGGGACGCATGTGAGAGTTGTGGAGGAGGGAGGGGAAAGACAAGGGAAAGAGATACAAAAGGGTGGGAGAGGGAGAAGAAGGCAGCTGGGGAGGTGAGGAGATGAAAGTGATATTCAACAGGGCCTACAGTGGTATGCAGCTCATTTATTACTGTAGAAACAGAAGGCTGACAGCGTCACAAAGCACCTGTCCTTAGGTCCTAAAAACTGTCCTACACATTAAACACGGCAAGACCCCTCCAAAGCGGCCTGAAACACAACACCTGCCCACAGAAATGTGGCACAGGGAAGCTACAACCCATCAATCCTATACACCAAACATCTGCTATTAAAATAAAATTACCATACTTTACATTATTTATTTCACATACATTGTTCTGAAAGAGAGCAGAGCAGTCATCACATGATCACTACATTTCACTCAATTTGAAGATAAAGGCTTTGATTAGGGATGTTCACAGCAACTGAAATTTAAACTCTGACTAGTGGGCGATCTAGTTGGCTAATTGCACACATCCCTTGATTGAATACATTTATCCGTTGTTGTTTTTCCAGTGCTGTAACAGGATTAATTTTGCTTTCAGGTCCGAGTGGATCTAATGTTGCAACCGTTCAGGGACAGGAGTATACATGTTCAAATAAAACAGTTTTAATACAAAACTACCCAAAGCCACAATATGCTCCTTATTCGGCCAATTTAAATATTTCAAATATTCTGTTTAATCCTGGCGTGTTTGGATATAAAGAAAAGTTGATCATTTTCAACACCAATTTCAATTTAACACTCCAGCATTAAGTTTGCTACAGCCATAATTCAAAACAAGACAAAACACAATGACTCAAGAAATAAAGAGGAGGCTAAATCATCTTTTAAGAAAATATAATAGTTCAAAAAGAAGTTTTAATGCACTTCATGTAGTTTTCTCCCTATGATCTCTCATTAAAAAAAATTAACTAGAGACCTGGTTTGATTGAATTTATTAACTGATGGGATCATGGGAGTTTTAATCTTCCCTACTTTGCAACCAGCAGAACAGAAACAAATCTATCTGATGAGTAGAGCAAGAATAAATGTATCATCTTGTTGTTTTATTCTCGATAGGATAGCTCATGTTCACTCACACGGTGTAGCATTACTAATTTGTGAGAAGGTGAGATTACAGAACCGGCTTGATCAACAACTGAGGTGGCAGCCCTGGTTTGAGATTTAATAGCACTTTCCTAGTCTTCCGATTACTCAAAGCGCTTCCTACACCACAGATCACATCTACCCATTCACACACAGCGAGCTTCTCATGCAAGCAGAAGCAGTTAAAAAAAGGTTTTCTAAAGGGTCGGTGTGTACAGAGCTGGGATTGAAATAAAGTGTTTGACATAAGGTTTAACATGTTCCATAAAATCAATATGTCATTGAGTGTAGGCCTATCACTTCTGAGTTTCATATTTGATTTGTTTTCTGACTCACCATCAAACAAAAAGTCTGCTCATTTGAGGTTTGACAATTAAAAGATCACAAACAACGCCTTCCTTATCAAACAGCAATATTTAATTTTCATCAGTCATATTATTTGCCCTTTTTTAATTTCATTATGAGAATGACAGTCAGACAGAGTGGGAGTCTGTCAGTCAGAAAACACATTTTATATTCATTATTATGTTCATAATGTTCTGATCATTAATGATCGTTGAGTTTGAAAAATATTATGCGTTCTGTTTTGCACTTAATAGTTTTCAGTGTTGCTGAGACATCATAAAGTATCTGTTATAAAATACAGAGTTCACCATCAGATTATCGTTAAAAACAAACAATATTAAAGCTTTTTGCCAGTAGACTTGTCGTATGTTTTTTAGCAGACTGCAGGTTGTCCTCCATGTGCAGGTGTTATTAGGTAACATAGAGGAGACTAAACACTATTACTGTGTGTATTTTCATTAGAAATAATACAGTGCACGTGTGTGTAGACGCAAACAGCTGTAAAAGCCGCCTGAGCTGAGATCAGCTGATGTCATCACAAACTGACGTTGCTTCTTGTCGTGACGCCTTGATGGAAAGGACGTCTCGTATCTCGTATCTCATATTTCCTCATTCCCTCTCCTTTCACTTTGTTTCCTCACATCTCTCCATGCATCTCATGTGGACTAAGATGTCAGTGAGGGATGCAAGTGAAGGAGACGTGGATGCAAGTTAAGAGACCTGAGAAGTACCCTCAGATGGCAGAGGATGTTAAGGTTGGAGCAATTCAGGGTTAAGTGTCTTGCCCAACGACACACTGACGTATGGCTGCAGGAGCTGGGGACCAAACCCGCAATTTTCCAGTTGAGAGACGGCTGACTCTACCACTGATCCACAGCCGACTTCACTCTCCCCAAAAACCACTCTCTGTTTACTAACCAACCTCCAGATAATTGTGTTTCCTCTTCGACATGAAGCAGCCTTTTCAATGTAACTGGGTATCAACAGCAAAGACGGACCTTTTCATCCTTTGCTCCTCTTGGCTTCATCTTCAACATTCATTTTTGCCCCTACCAAAATCTCACAATACAAATGGTCAAATGTTGTTTACATAGCGTGGATATCAATTTGAACATGTCCCATATGTCACAATATTGAATCAACAGAATATCCGATCTTGCAAAGAAACTAACACTTGAGTGTAAAATCCCTCATTTCAACTCCTGTATCAATGTACAATCGAGATAGTTCACTGCTTCTTCAAGGCTATTTGTTTGCAGCTTTCAACAAAGGCTTCATCATGTGAATGTGCAAGTATTACTTGAATGGACTTGCTGCACTGTGTGTGTGTGTGTGTGTGTGTGTGTGTGTGTGTGTGTGTGTGTGTGTGTGTGTGTGTGTGTGTGTGTGTGTGTGTGTGTGTGTGTGTGTGTGTGTGTGTGTGTGTGTGTGTGTGTGTGTGTGTATCACTCTCTGACCTTGGACTTGACTCTCCCACAGCATTACTAAACTAAAACCTGCCAAAACATGTTTGTCTTTAATAATCCTGAGACCGAGTTGGCATGGTTTACCTTCAGAAGGTAACCGATCTTCAGTCACAGTTAACAACACATTAAGCTATAAAAACAGGGATATCTGTGTCAGAAGGGGAACTAAAGAGGGTCACAAAACTTTTGAAGTATTGGCATTGCATTCGTTTACAAACAGATGTTGACCTCTTCTTTTGTAGCTGAAACATACAGCAGCTGATCAGATGTTTTATAAAGCTCTATGAGCTGTCATCCGAGTTAAACATAAGAACCGACAATTTTAACAATTATTTTTAAACACACTGAAGACAGTTAAAAAAACAGAGCTTAAAATACTTTTGTGGGTATCAACATGTATTTTCAATGAGCCTGAAATAATTCTAAGTGGCACTTGAACCTCTAGGTCTCCACTAATAACTGGGGTATTGGTGCCATTACTTGCCCAGGGCACTGAGGGGATCCTCTACCTGGGCTGCAACAAAAGGAATTCCATTACAAACAGGTTTCACTAGACCGATGATATACTCCAACTTCCTGTTGTCAAGTCCTCTTTCAGTGATTCCATAGATTCCTCCCAGCAGGCTCTGTAGGTTCATAATGACTTATGATGGGTTAGTTACACAACCAAGAAGAACTGTGGTTCTGGGATAAACCTGTCTGCGTTGATTGGCCTATAGAATATCATGCCAAATATTTCCTTTGTGGCTCCATGAGACTTTAGTGTCAGCCCTCTAGAAATATCCAATAAAAGGCTGAGCTCCTGTCTACATGACTCCATGCTGACGTTATGCCACAAAAACACTTTTTCAACCACAGCCAGCCAAGCTTGTTTGGCTATTTGAGCCTTTTAGCAGTCAAGCTCAATACACAAATACACTACTTATGGTCTTCTGGTAACCTGGGATTATTTATTAAGTGTTACACGTTATCATTAATTGCTAGTTCTCTGCAAGTGTACAAAACAGTCCACACAACTCTGTATAATTCTAAAATCTCCTGAACATTAACAGTTCAATAAAAACACCTCAACTATTATTTTCTTGAACTTTTAATAATAGTTGTCTCTGTTTTTACTTGAAACAAACGTGACTAAAGCATTGTGCAATGATTAGGATAAGACAAGCAATGATTATTAATTATAATATCATCGAGTGAGTTACCATCTATATCTATGTCCAAATTTTCTGAACTTCAATTTCAACAACAAAGATTTCAACACCAACATATATTTGAACTTTTTATGTCGAAACAGCAGAATTTGAACAGTTTAAAAATAAAATAAATTTGAACTATGTCACCCAATCCTTAACATTCACTTCTAATAGCTTAAATTCAAGAGTTATTAAATACTGACACGTGTATACCCTGATGAAACAACGGTGTACTTCATAATGTTCTCGTCTGCCTCATTGTTAAAAGGTAAAATGGGATCTTTTAATCTATTATGGGTTAATTATGACCTTAATCAAACATTTCATAGGTATAAAAAAAACGTTCAGGCCAAGTAAAGCAGGTCATCCACTCATCCACATTTCCCTGCTCTACTCTTTCAGCCAAGTGTTGAATGAGTTGAATGGGTTGTAGTTTCAAGCACTTTGGGTGTTTGGAAGAATTGAAAAGGAGCTAAACAATGGAAGTGAATATATTTATAAAGCATACCTTCAATACTTAATTGTACTAGTTGTACTTAACTTATTATGAAATAATACTTTACATATTTAAAGATAAAAAAGGGAACTAAGATTCGAATGTGAAACATTAGGGAGGTGGTAAAGGTAAAGCTCAGTAATGACTCGTCATGTTCCTCTGCACTGATGAATGGCTCACCTCCAGCCAACAAGTGTTAGCAGCCCCTCTATGGAGTCCCCCT